TTTCCAGCTTTACGTGTGAGATCTGAAAGGTGGAGAGCAACTTTTTTAACATTAGCCGTTAATCACGAAAATGTGAAACTTAGTCGCGTGAAGTCAAAACGAGGATTACGCGTGAAGATACACGAGGTGTTACAGAAGCGACTACTGTTCGGTTCGGTTCGGTTTCTAGATTTATCGTCTCGGTATGAGTCGAGAGCTGTGACACGGATAGTGATGATTTCGAAGGTTTCGGAACGCTTCGTGCAGCCATTCGCACGTCGTCATCCTCTTGCACATTCCGTTCCCAGGGAACTTGGCCTACTCTGACATGTCACACGCTCTTGGGAACGACGGAAGGAATGTCAGAGACAACTTTGGGCTTTGTTCCACATTCGATCTAATAGGAAAACTTTGCCAGAAGAACAGGCGGCTGGATTAACTAGTTTACAGCTAGACTAAAGGGTAATGTTGTTGCTGAGACTGTAGGGGATGATTTAGGTGAGTAGATATTCCCGCAAAACTTTCCTACACATCTTTCGAGCTGTTAACGCGCAGCCTTCTTTAAATTCAGTTCTTCACGTTTGCGACACGTGCTACACTGTAGCACAGTTCCCTGATCACTAACTAATTGGTCGTAGCAGAGCGTTCACTGACTATATCGGGTATGGGACAGGGTCGATATCAGTGAAGCAAGCTCATGGCCGTTTGTTGGGCGCCTTTTAAGATTATTTTTCATACACTGCTGCCTTCCTAATATGAGCCGAGAAGAACAGGGTCGATATCAGTGAAACGCATGGCGGCCTCTCTCGTGACTCCTGCCTGCGGGTCTATTGTCGATAACCTCCGGTCGAGTTGTAATTCGTTACAAGCACGTCCGCTTATAGCAATTCCGCGTTCTGTCACTTCTTCATCCAGTTTATCCTTGGCATCCAGTCGCGCTATAGTGTTTTCTGGAGGCTCGAAACCTGTTATACTGCAGCCAACAGGGCCGTCGCGAGTATCGAATTCGAGAGGGAATTCGAAATGTTTGATTTGTGATGTCACGTCGGTAGCACGGCTTTGTGTGGTAACCCCCCTCTCAACGTCTGTTTTCAAACGGGAACCTCTTGAAGCCCTCTCCCTTGGAAACGGTATTCCCAAGGGGATTCGACCACGATGGAAGTTCATTGGCGGGAACCAGACTCAACTAGGGGACACGTGGCAGCTGATGGAGACACGGCGGCATGGGTGGGCTCGCGAGGGGAGAGCGAGGGCGGGGGTGTGACTGCAGCGAGGGACGGGCGATACAAGTTCAACCTGAACGAGTACATGGTGACTATAGAGAAGCCGCTGGGGATCTGGTTCTCCCAGACGGATAGCGGAGCAGTTTATGTCGAAGCACTGCAGGAGAAGGTACGTATAGGGAAAGGGAATAACCACGCTGGGGATAATGTTTTGGCAGGAAGTGCAGGGCAAACGTTCGCTTAACTGTGTTACTGTAAAAGGTTATTAATATGATCTGACCATTTTCATCGAGGCGAATGTGATTGTATCAGGGGAACGCGGAGCGCGGGCAGATGGTGATGGTGGGGGATGTGTTGCGACAGGTGTCGGTTGCTCAAGGCACGCCGCTTACACGAGTCGTTGATCTTCAATCCCTCGTGTATGTATGATGCCGCTCGCACGATTCAGTGACCTTTTATCGCTCGTGTAAGTCACCTTTGAGACGTCTCAAGAGGTATGGAGAGGCAGGTGTCAGTGGCTCAGGCCTCACCACTCACTCGAGTCATTGACATTCAACTCAATCGCTCGCTCAGGAATGTGTGTGTGAACATACATAAGGAGTATGTGCTTCTAGATCCCTCGTGTATGTGTTTAAGTGTGCATGTATGTCCTCCATCTCTCAATCCTCAATGCACGTATGTGTGACCTTCATCCCTCATTCCCTACAGAACCGCAATCGAGGAAGGCAAGGGCCCATGCACGTTCGTGTTAGAGCGAGCCCTTCACGCCCCCACCACCCAACGCATCATCCTCTCATTTGGTTCAAACTCGTCCCCTTTGTCCCCCCAATCTCAACACTTTGCAGAAGTGCAATCGAGGAGGGTAAGGGTCCGTGCACGTTCGTGTTAGAGAGAGCCCTTCACGCCCCCACCACCCAACGCATTATTCTCTCGCACCCTCTCCGCTCCGACAATCCCGGCCGCTCAGCAGCTGCCACGTGGCACCACCCGTCCAGCTGGCCGCGCTACAGTGCCAGCAGTGCCATGTCAGCACGGACACTGTTCATGAGGGGGGAGCTGGGCGGGTGGGACTTGTGTCGTTTTCTGAGTTAAGGCCACATGGGGAGAAGAGGAGAGAGAGGAGGGAGTGGGGTGGGGGACAGGGAAGGGGGGAGGGTAGGGTGGAGGAAGGGACGAGGGAGGGGAGTGAGGGGAGGACGGGAGAGGAGGGAAAGGGTGGATCGGGGCAAAGTCAAGAGCAAGAATATGGCATTAGTGATGGTGGTGGTGGCACTGATGTTGAGAGCGAGGAGAGGGGTGAATTAAAGGAGAAGGGAGAAGTGAGAAGAGAGGTGAGGGGTGGTGGACAGAGGGAGAATGTGGGTGAAACAGTGGGGATGGTGGTAGCAGCAAGAGGAGAGGGAGAGCTGGGGAATGAGACAGCTTTAGGTGTGAACAAGTCTGTAGTGATCCAGCATGTTAGAGAGGCAGAGGTAAGGGTAGCGAGGGAAGGGGAGGGGCGTCAGGAGGATGGGGGGAGGTGGGGGATGGGGGGCAGGTGGAGGGGGTGGGGGGAGGTGGAGGGTGGAGGGGAGGTGGAGGGTGGAGGGGAGGTGGAGGGTGGGGGAAAGTTGGAAGACGGGGGAAGGTGGAGGGGGTGGGCGTTCCAGAAGGAAGGGGAAAGATGAATGAGGCGTTGGATGAAAAGGAGAAGAAGAGTGTACACGGGGAAGTGAGCATGGGAGATGGAGAAGGGGAGAAAAGGGTGGATGTGGGGATGGGAGAGGAAGAAGGTTTGAAGGGTGGGGAGGCACAGAAGGCGGGGGGGAGGGGTGTGAGGGCGATACTAGGAGGCACTTTATGGGGTAAGAAAAGGAAGACAGGGAGGGCGAAAGGAGAGGGAGGAGAGGGGAAGGAACGGGTGGAGCAAGCACAGGCGGAGCCAGAGTGGGTCCTATTTCCATTCTTTGAGGGGAAGCTTGTGTCTGGCTCGGACTCAGGTCCGGATTCCGGAGCTGACGAGAGGTCTGGTGAGCAGAACACGACAGGTTCGGGTCAAGGTTCGGAAAGTCGAGTGGCTGAAGGCCAAGCCTCTGAAAGCCAAGCCTCTGAAACTCAGGGTCTGACCGAAATTGAGGAAATGGTTTCGGGGGGAGAGGGTCTGGTAGAAGAGGGGGGGGCTGGCAGGGAAGCGAGCTTAAAGGGTGGGGCTGGGGCAGGTGGAGCTGGGGAAGGTGTGAGCTCAGTTACAGGGGATGCGGCTCAAGAAGCTAGTCAAGAGAAGATGGAGCAGAGGGATAAGGATCTGCAGAGAAAGGGGGTTACTGAAGGGAGGGGAGGAGAGGAGGAAGAGAGGAGAGGAGAGGATGAGGAGGAGGATGGGGCGGAGTGGGCGCAAGCAGCAGAGGCAGCAGCCGCTCTTGCAGCGGCAATGAGAGTGTCGAAGGGAGAGGAGGGCAGAGAAGGCGACGAGGAGGGTATGGGAGTGAGGGGCGATAGGGGCGAAAGGGAGGGAGGCGAGGTGGGGGAGGGTGAGAGGGAAGAGTGGTTTGAGGAGGGGAGGCAGCAGGGGAGGAAGGATGCGGATTGGCAGTGGCCAGAGCGCGGTTTCTGGGATGCTTCCTCTGGGAAGGACGGGGGAGTGGAGGGGGAGGGGAAGTGGTGGGGGCTTGGGGTGGGGCGGGTGGATGAATTTGTGGAGGCGTATACAAGAGGCGTGGGTGATTCGAGATTCGAGCCGCTTCACTCGCCAACTCACTCACAGGTGAGGGAGAATGGTGTGTGTGGTGTGTGTGGTGCGTGTGTGTGTGGTGCGTGTGGTGTGTGGTGTGTATGGTGCGTGTGGTGTGTGGTGTATGTATGGTGCGTGTGGTGTGTGGTGTATTTATGGTGCGTGTGGTGTGTGGTGTATGTATGGTGCGTGTGGTGTGTGGTGTATGTATGGTGCGACTTGAGCACAGCTTTTGGGGGCTTGGGGTGGGGCGAGTGGATGAATGTGTGGAGGCATATACAAGAGGCGTGGGGGCCTCGAGGTTTTAGCACTGCATTCACCCACTCACACACAGGTGAGGGAGAATGGTGTGTGTTTGTACCTGAGCATTTGGCCTTCGGAGCAGCATTTGGCCTTCGGAGCAGCATTTGGCCTTCGGAGCAGCATTTGGCCTTCGGAGCAGCATTTGGCCTTCGGAGCAGCATTTGGCCTTCGGAGCAGCATTTGGCCTTCGGAGCAGCATTTGGCCTTCGGAGCAGCATTTGGCCTTCGGAGCAGCATTTGGCCTTCGGAGCAGCATTTGGCCTTCGGAGCAGCATTTGGCCTTCGGAGCAGCATTTGGCCTTCGGAGCAGCATTTGGCCTTCGGAGCAGCGTTTGGCCTTCGGAGCAGCGTTTGGCCTTCGGAGCAGCGTTTGGCCTTCGGAGCAGCGTTTGGCCTTCGGAGCAGCGTTTGGCCTTCGGAGCAGCGTTTGGCCTTCGGAGCAGCGTTTGGCCTTCGGAGCAGCGTTTGGCCTTCGGAGCAGCGTTTGGCCTTCGGAGCAGCGTTTGGCCTTCGGAGCAGCAATCCTGTGCCCAGAAGACATTGCACCCTATGCCTCTAGCTAGCTCCATCGCCTTCCTTTCTTCTCCCCTCTGTTTAACCTTCATACCAATCAATTTGTCTTTCCGTGACTTCACCTTGCCAGGTATCAGAGCATCTGTCGTTCGGAGCGGCACTGCTGTGCCCGGAAGACATCACCTCCCGCCCAGCCTCAAACTCCCTTCACTCATCTCACGTCGCTCTCCCCTTCTGCTGTGTCTGCCACTCACCAACCTCGCCTCCCACAGGTATCAGAGCATCTGTCGTTCGGAGCAGCACTGCTGTGCCCAGAAGACATCACCTCCGCGCACCAAAGGCTGGTCCGTCCTCCCCTCTCTTTTCCCCACTCTTTTCCCCACTCTTTTCCCCACTCTTTTCCCCTCTCGCTCTATACACCCTTTCCCACTCTTTCTATGCGCCCCTCACCTCGCCCGTCTCTCATTTTGCCCCTCCCTCATGTATGCACCCCTCCTCCTCTGGCTGGGCTGTGTTCTGACATTTCTCCCCCGTCTCACAGTCACTACCCTATCCTCCCCTGTGATATGCTGCTCCTTCCTCTTCCATTGGGCCCACTTGCTTCTGCACGAGAAGTTGGCTTTTGGCTAGGAAAAGAGTAAAAATCAGATCAAAAATCCTTCTATATAGTCACTTTCCCCTCTTGTATGCCTGCTGACCTTTCCTCTCCCATAGGCACAGCTTGGTTCCTCGTCCTGTTGAAACTCGATGTAGATGCTGCAGCTATGTTGTCCCTACCCAACCCCTTCAAACCCCCTCGCTCATATCCCACATCAGGCTACGACAGCAGTGTTGGACCTGCAGCGAGCCACAGAGAAGCTCAACTGGGCGGTGGACGTGGATGGCACATATAGCCTCGTCCTCCCCTCACATGGTCTTCATGACCCCTCCCTCCCTTTCTCCCTCCACCATCCCACATCAGGGCACGACAGCAGTGTTGGACCTGCAGCGAGCCACAGAGAAGCTCAACTGGGCGGCGGACGTGGATGGCACACATAGGCTGTTCCTCCCCCACTCTCCCCACCGCCCTCCACCCTTTCCAATCTCTGTCCCTCCCACTCTAACTCTTTGCACCGCAGGGCACGACAGCAGTGTTGGACCTGCAGCGAGCCACAGAGAAGCTCAACTGGGCGGTGGACGTGGATGGCATGAACCGGGCGGCAAGAGACGCTGGGGTGATGGTGGTGCACCACCCAATCAGGTCAGCTGCTTTTGCTTGCGGTGCTGATGGATCTGGGGCGTTACTGCATGAGGAGGGCGTGTGATGTGGATGGGTGTGGACCAGGGTCTATGGGGCAGGGGATGTGGGGGTGATGGTGGTGCACCACCCCATCAGGTGAGCTGCTTTCGCCCCTTTCCTCACCCTACCTTGTCCCTCTCCCCACCCCCAGGCACCACGACGGGCATGACTTGAGGCGGAAGCTCCCAGTGGCAGTGGGGATTCTGCACCGCCTGCTGCGCCGGGGCCTGCATGTGCTGGTGACGGACACAGATGGGGTGGACAGGGCGCCAGCAGTGGTGTGTGCGTATCTGCACTGGGTGCTCGCCATCCCCTTGCCCCAGGCTCTTCACTTCGTGTGTGACGTCCGCCCCTGCCAGCCCAACCGGTGAGCCACGGGTTTGTGCAGTTTAGTACGGTTCAGTGCGGTTCTGCGTAATAAAGTGTGGTTCAGTGTGGTTCTGCGCGTTTTAGTGCGGTGCAGTGCGGTTCTGGGAGTTAAGCTGTGGTGGCTGCATGTGTTGGTGACGGACACAAATGGGGTGGACAGGGCGCCCGCAGTGGGGTGTGCGTATCTGCACTGGGTGCTTACCATTCCGTTGCCATAGGCTCTTCACTTTGTCTGCGACGTCCGCCCCTGCCAACCCAACCGGTGAGCTGTTTAGTATGGTTCAGTGTGATTTTTTGTGGCTCAGTGCAGTTCAGTGCGGTTCTGTGAGCTGAGCAGTGTTGGCTGCATTTGCTGGTGGCAGACAGCCCATCCCATTCGCCCACCGATCCTCCCACCCATCCTCCCACCCATCCTCCCACCCATTCTCAGGGCGGCACTGACAGCAGCGACATGGGATGGGATCTGGTGGCCACGACTTCTCCTTTGCCCTCTTCCCTCTCCCTACTCAACCCCTCCCGTCCCTCCCATTCCATCGTCCCACCCATCCTCCCACACGTCCCTTCCATCTTATCTTATATTTCAGGGCGGCACTGGCAGCAGCAACATGGGATTTGGTGGCCATGCTGCGGCGTGGGGTGAGGCACACAGGGCCCTACCACCCACCCACCCCACTCTCCGCCCTCCCCCTCTCCCATTCCATCCACCCTCCCATCTCAGGGCGGCACTGGCAGCAGCAACATGGGATTTGGTGGCCATGCTGCGGCGTGGGGTGAGGCACACAGGGCCTGCCACTCATTCGGTGCAGATCGCATGGAACCATGGGGGGCGCGAGGTGATGTGCAGCTTGTCAATGTACGGTTACCAGAGAGGGTGGTTAGTGGTTACCACCAGAGAATGTGGTTACCACAGACTGCCCCACCACTCACTCGGCGCAGATCGCATGGAATCATGGGGGTGCGAAGCCGTCTTGTGTAGTGTATGGTTGCTGGAATGTGTTGGCCAGAGAATGTGGTTACCAGAGAATGTGGTTACCAGAGAATGTGGTTACCAGAGAATGTGGTTACCAGAGAATGTGGTTACCAGAGAATGTGGTTACCATAGAATGTGGTTACCATAGAATGTGGTTACCAGAGAATGTGGTTACCATAGAGTGTGGTTACCATAGAATGTGGTTTCCACCGACTTCCCTGCCACTCACTTGGCACAAATCACAGTGAATTACGAGAGCTCGACGTGAGGAGGGAGTGGGCCCCATCTCACACCGATGTAATTTCCACTAAATTCCCCTTCCGTTCCACCCATCCCGCATGCAGGTGCTTCTGGTGGGGGAGCTCTCGGGCGGGTGGAAAAACCCAGTGGCGGCCACTCCAGTTGGGGGTTCCCAAGTTTGTTCTCGCGCTCAGGCTGCCCTCGGATCGTGAGTCTCTGCTTCTCTCTCTCCTCTTCCGCCACGCCTGTGTGGTGCCGAAAGGTCTGCCTTTTACCAGTCAGTCACCTGCTCAAAGTCTATTCTCTTCTCTCGCTCACACTGCCCCTCGGCACTGGCAGCATGCAGCAGCAGACCTGCTTCCTCTCACCTCTCTCTCTCTCTCTCTCTCTCTCTCTCTCTCCTCTCTCTCTCTCTCTCTCTCTCTCTCTCTCTCTCTCTCTCTGCACGGCACTCCTTTGTGCATCACCTTCCTCTCACCTTCTTCTCACTTCCTCTCCTGGTGCAGTTATTGCTACGAGTTCATAGTGGACGGCACTGGCGCCATTGCAGCAGACCTGCTTCCTCCACTCCCTCTCTTGATTTGCGCTTCTTTCATGTGCCCGCACTCTTTTTCGCACTCTCTGCCCGACCTCTCATACCTCCCTCCCCCCCTCTTGTAGCTACCGCTACAAGTTCATAGTGGACGGGCACTGGCGCCATGCAGCGGACCTGCCCACGGAGGTTGGACGAGTGGGGCAACACCAACAACGTGCTGCACGTGGGGTCGCTGGCTCGCCACAACAATGTAAGTCTGTGCTTACGTGTATCTGTATGCTCACACAACACTTTTGAGGCGCCTCAAAATGCCCACACAACACCAATTGTATGCTCCTCCACACATACTCAAGTGGGGCAACACCAACAACGTGCTGAACGGGGGGGGCCCTAGCCCGGCACACAAATGAAAGTCGGTGGTGCTTCAGGTGGGTGTCACAACACCAACAACGTGTTGCACGTGGGACCGCTGGCCCCGCACACACAACATGAGTCTGAGCGCCCACGTGTCTCTCTGTACACACGTGTTTGCACACAATTCGGCCTGAGGAGCATGTGAAGGAGATCTGCCCACGGAGGTGGACGACTGGGCCAACACCAACAACATGCTGCACGTGGGGTCGCTGGCTCGACACAACAATGTAAGTCTGTGCTTACGGCTGAGGAGCATGTGAAGGAGATCTGCCCCACGGAGGTGGACGCGTGGGCCAACACCAACAACGTGCTGCACGTGGGGTCCCTGGCTTGCCACACCAATGTAAGTCTGTGCTTACGGCTGAGGAGCATGTGAAGGAGATCTGCCCACGGAGGTGGACGAGTGGGGCAACACCAACAACGTGCTGCACGTGGGGTCCCTGGCTTGCCACACCAATGTGAGACGCTCTGCCGACAAGTCTGACTTGTGAATGGTCACCTCCACAATCACCCACGTTGCTCACATGCGCTTGACTGTCCCTTCGTCTGCCTCTCTCCCTGTCTCCTCTCTTCACCCGGTCTCCTGGCTCCCTGTCTCTTCACCTCCTTGTCTGCCCACTCTCCCTGTGTCTTTTTGAGCAGGATGCGGTGAGGGAGAGGGTGATAGAGCGCCCTCTCACGGACCTCGAGAGGCGAATGGTCACCTTCGCTTCGCAGCGCGTTGCTTTTTCCGTCTCACCCATCACCTTCACGCCCAAGCTCAGACCAGCTCGCTCTTGAGTTCATTCTCAACGCTTCTCTTTGGTTAATTCTTACAGCTTCTCATCGCCCTGCAGCGCGTTGCCTTTATCCGTCACACCCCGCCGCTTTCAAGCCCAAGCTCCGCCCAGCACGCTCATGAGTTGTGTTGGTTGCATCACATTGCCTCATGAGCAGGGCTCTCGTTAGCAGACTAATTTAGTCTGTTGGTCTAGGTTTCAGGCTGCGAAATGTATCGTTCATATGCTGTGGCAGACTTTAGCTTATGGGCAATATGAGAGCCAAGACAAATGCTATAGCGGTCATATGTTTTTTTCAGGAAAATTATAGCAATTCATCTGATCCAGCAGAAATCGCGTATTATTTTGTCTGAGACAAAATGGCCCAGTTGGCCAGAGGAGCAGCGAGGTGTTGCATGTGAAGGCACGCGTAATGATTTTTGCGTGAGGGCACGGGGGTGAATTTCGGATTCTTCCTGCCAGCGCATTCTGCATCTGACTCAGTTGCTGCCACGCATCTGTCGGGTAGCTGTTGTCGGCGCCGCTGCCAGGCTGTCGCCCCTCACCTCGCTGGCAGAGTGCAAGGACAGTCGGTGCACATCAAAACAAAGCATGCACACACCTTCGTGAAACCCTCGTGAGAGAGGCGCGGCGCGTTTCGTGAGGTGATGGTCCTTTCCCTTCCTATCTTCTCCAAGCCTTTCTTTGACAACCTGCCTTCACATTTCAATCTTTGACGCCTAGCCCGAAGCATACTATCGTCCCGTAGCTTGTTCCCGCGTTACCGTCTAGAATTCCTTTCTTGCTACTGCCTCATGTGAGGTGATACACCACCTCACACCATGCTATTTGGCGCCCTCGAGTCAACCGACAGCGCTAGGCGTGATCCACCCGGGGTACTTGACGAGCCACGGGTTTCTGCGTCAGATTTCCTAACCCGTTAAAGCTCCCGCAGCAATTCCTGTGACCACCACTGCCGCAGTCGAGACGCCTCCGCCTGTAATTCCTTCCCCCAACGTCATCACATCCTGCAACGACGAGCCGCTTATCCCCCTCGCAATCTACGTCAGACGCTACTGAGACTGCGACCCAGCCTAACCCGGCTGAAGCTGAGTCTTCGCCGCCGCCCGTTTCGGCATCTGTGGCCACAACTCTACCGGCGATTTCTGTTTCTCGCATTAGAGCACGAAACGGCAAATACAAACAGCGAATTCTGAGCTTTGCCCGTCCCACTGCAGGTGTCCCGCCAGCAACCGTCCCCCGCTTTAGCACAACTCGCCCGGGCCCGTCACAACCCGTCGACGCCAACGACGACGACAAGTATCCGCGCGCCTTGACCGTCGAGCAGTGGCAGCAGAAGGCTAACGAGAAATGGCGAAAGCACTTCCCGTGGCTCATCATCTCGGAGACTTCATGGGGTTCAACCTTGCATGAGGTGTTCAATCTGCATGGTGCACGGAGACCCCAGTGTCAGAGGTCCACTGGTGATCCCTGATCGATCCTAGGGAAGGGTTACAGGCACATTTGCCTGGGGGTTATGGGCGCACTGACCCGCTACTGAAACAAGCCCTTTATCCCAATGGTCTAGTGGTTGGGATTCTGAGATGGTATCAGAGCGAAGGTCTCGGGTTCGAATCCCGGTGTATGCACTTCGGGCATCCCAGTTGCGGGGGGGGTGTCAGAGGTCCACTGGTGATCCCCGATCGATCCTAGGGAAGGGTTACAGGCACATTTGCCTGGGGGGTTATGGGCGCACTGACCCGCTACTGAAACAAGCCCTTTTTATCCCAATTGTCTAGTGGTTGGGATTCTGAGACCCAGGCTACCAGTACGGCCGCAATGGAGAGGGTGGGGTGGACATTCAACGACAGACGATGCGGAAACATCAGCATTCCATCAAGCATGAGGCGTCAATGGACCGCCCAACAGCTACGTGACGGCAAGAATGCTGCTCAGAAGTCGATTGTCGACTTCGAGAATGGTGACGAGGGAAGCCAAGCGTTTGACAAACTCCTGGCAACAGTTATTTTTATTTGCAGAAGCGACTCACCCATTGTGTTGTTTGTGACTCTGGTCCAGTTCATGGCAGAGATGGGCACGCCCGACATGCCCCTTGAAGGATTTCCGGCACCTACTACAGCGAGTATGTGTTTTTTTGTTTTTTGCGGGTTTAGGGTTTCGTTGAAAACCACGGTACTAATTACCTTGTCACTGGTCGTTACAGGTACGGATTTGCGCAGTTGGTTGAGACGCTTGTCATCTACCTCCGTGCTCAACAGATGAAGCACATCCGAGATAGTCCTTACCTAGGCATTCAATTGGACGAGAGCACGGACCGTCGGCGCGGGAAGCACCTAATAGTCTACTTGTCGTTCCTCCGCAGCAACACTCCCGTCACTGAATTTTTCGCGCAGCTAATAATTGAGCAGTGCGATGCTGGTTCCTGCAGGCAGTCCTTCTAGCCCACCTGGAGTCTACCGGCCTCAACCTTGAGCGCATCAGTGGCATCAGCACTGACGGTGCAAGCGTCATGGTCGGTTATCAGACGGGCCTGGTGGCACGCCTTCGTGGGCGGATTCCACACCTCGCAGGGTTCCACTGCATCGCGCACAGGTTTGTAACCCTGTGATGTTATGCTTACCTTTTAATCGTTGCATATGTATCTAGCTTGTTGCTTTTCCGTGTTGTGTCAGGGAAGCTTTGGCCGCAAAGGATGCAGCAGAGGCCTTCCCCGACCTTGACATCGTCGACCATGTCGTCCGTTCCTTAGCGAAGCTCCTTGGACGGTCGGGCAACTTCCACCTACGCTTCAAAGAGCTGCAGGAGGTGCTGTGTGAAACTAACCTGGAGTTGCAGGGCATCCACAGCGTCAGGTGGCTTTCACGTGGTCTGCGGTGCAGCAACTGGCTGACAACCTTCCAGCTGCTGTCATACTGTTGTACGAGAACGACCCGAAGGCGTACCTCCTTGTAATCAGTTTGAAATTCCATTTCATGCTGTTTTTCTTGGCTGATGTGTTGAAGGAACTCAACGCACTGAACCTCAAGTTCCAGTGACGGTAGGTACGCTGATACGCCTCTTGCTGTTAACTGTTTTTTAGCGTAAATGAATCGTGTTAATGAGATATTTTACCCGTGCAATACCTTTCCACCTGTGAAGCAAGGAAAACAGGAATGAATGAACTAGCAGTGAAATGAGTACAAGTAGGAAACCCTAGAATTGTGTACCCCCTATAGGCTAACCCACTGTAGCCTACACAAGCATAACATATATAATGTTTGACACACCCCCATAGGCAAAGTGGGGGAGAACAAGGGGTCACAAGACCAGTCAAGCAAAGCAAAGCAAGCTCAGGGTGGATCACAAAGTCACCACACAGTCCGAGCACAAGAGGAGGGCCAGAGGCCAGTTTACATGCAGGAGTACAGACATATATATAAAACTAGACAAGCAAGAGCAGGTATATATATATATATGTCACAGTACAAGTGAAGTCAAGAGGAGAGCAAGTGAGGCAAGACAGGCACAAGACCCAGCTGGGTGCAAAAGCGCTGATGGTCACAAGGCGCAAGTGCCTTGGTGAACACATCAGCAGTGTTGGCCTCAGAGGCCACGTACGCAAGTCGCAACTGACCACGCTGCTGCAGCTCACGAGCAAGGAAGTAGCGGAGAGCAATGTGCTTCGTTCTGTGCTCCAAGCGCTGCTCTCGACACAAGGCCAGCATGGCCTTGTTGTCTACGTACAGCACTGGAGGAGAACAAGGCGGCTCTCCAAGGTCAGTCAGCAGGTAGGTGAGCCAGCGAAGCTCCTGTGCAGCCATGGCCCCGGCGTAGATCTCAGCCTCACAACTGGAGCCAAGAACCGAAGACGAGCGAGTAGACCGCCACGAGACAGAGCCGGAACCAAGGCTGAAGGTGTAACCCTGTGACGACCGCTGCGTAGCCTGGTCGTCAGCCCAAGAAGCGTCCGCGTGGCCGGTAAGGACCACTGGACTCCGCCCTCCAAGCACTAGCCCCATGCCCGACGTACTGCACAGGTAGCGCAATACCCTCTTCGCTGCAGCCATGTGCTCTGGTCTGTGTCTCCCAGGAGCAACATAGCGTGCAAGAATGCTCAGAGGGTATGCAAGGTCAGGTCGTGTGCAGGTCATCAGGTACATGAGGCAGCCAACAAGCTCTGCATACGGACCACTCGACTCTACGGACTCATCCGAAGGCAGAGCTGAGAGTGAGTGGCGAGTAGGCAGAGGAGTGGCCTGAGGCGAGGAGTACGTGAAGCCGAAGCGCTGAAGGACCTGCTGCACCATGTGTGACTGAGTCAAGGTAATGGTGCGGCGTGCTCTGTCCCGAGTGATCTGCAAGCCAAGGTAGCTGCGCAGTTCACCCAGGTCTGTGCACGTGTGTCTCTTCAGCAGCTCGGACTTCACGTAGGCGAGTCCAGCAGTGTCCGCTGTGGCAAAGACCAAGTCGTCGACGTACACGAGGATGTAGAACGGCGGCAGGGAAGTGTCGGTGCGAAGAAACAGCGACGGGTCAGCAGTAGAAGGAGCAAACCCAAGAGCCGCAAGCGTAGTCCTCAGTGTGTCGTGCCACTCACGCGGTGCCTGGCGGAGACCGTAGACTGGCCGTCGGAGGCTCCACTGGGTGCCAGGAGGGAAAGTCCCAGTGAAGCTAGGTGGACGGCGCAGCCAGATCTCCTCGTGCAGGCTACCCTGCAGGAACGCAGTGCTGAAGTCGAGAGAGTGAAGCTCGTAGTCGCGCTGAGCGGCTATGTGCAGCAGCACCCGAAGAGTGGTCATCTTCGGGGTGGGAGAGAAGGTCTGAAAGTAGTCAACTCCCTGCCGCTGACTGAAGCCACGAGCAACGTACCGCGCCTTGAAGACAGGTGGAGAGCCCGGCGGCCGCTTCACCCTGAAGATCCACATGCCACTGACGATGTTCGCCCCAGGAGGGGGAACCGCGTCAACGTGGTGCCTGTGGACTTCCAGGAAGCCATCTCTGCATCCATAGCTGCCTGCCACT